AGGAGAAGAGCACGAGCTTTTTGTAAATCTTTTTTTAGAGTTTTTTAGAGTTTTTTTAGAGTTTTTTAGAGAAATCATAAACCTTTTAATGAAATCATTTGATAGTTTTGAAAAAGGGCGGTTAATTTGCACAGAGAACATCTCTTTTATGTTCTCTGTACTTCAAACTCTCTGCACTCTGTACTTCTGTACAAAACTCTGCACAAAATTTCTAAGTGAAGCCTCTAAAGCGATGGTTTAACAATTTTCTTTGAAAAGAACACTTTAACCAACGAATTAGACTAAAATCGGGGAAATGGCAATCGGCCGATTGCACGAATGGATTGCCGAATGCACGAACGACCATCGTTTTGTTCAATCGAATTAAATGGTACATGCAAAAGAAATGCGGATTTCAACATTTTCATTCATAAATTTCCAACGATAGAAATCTGATATCGATGAATGTTATTAACTAGTTGAAAGTTGTAAATCTCCTCTACAAAATAGGCTAAAAAGTGTTTCAATTGATCGAAGCATTGAAGAAATTTCGAGGCCGAAATGCGAGTGACCAAAAAAGGGCACTTTTTGAAAACCCCAATAGTAGTGCACCCCGGCCGAGCCGAGTTGATGACTATTTTACAGTTCCCAAGCTTTCGCAGAAGCTCAACACTCTTCTCCCCCACTAGATCTCATCATCAGCTACATTTTCCGACCCCACATCGATAGGTTCTGATAAGCGGTTCTCGAGATTTCGAGCAATTTAGACGAGGCCCAGCGTGCACTACTATTAGAGAAAATACGGTATGTTTCTTAATTCAGAAAAACGTATATACCCCGATCATTACAGACATTAATTGTCAAAAAGTAAGCTCTTTGCTTCTACAGTGGTCCGAGGAAGGCTCGGTAATTAAAATTGAAACCTGATATGATATATATGAGATCAAAGGTCCGATCTAGAAATCCGTCCAATCTAGACTGATCGGATCAATCGGACGTCCGATCTAGAGTGAAGTGAGGTCAAGCATCCGATCCAGAATCAAGCTGATCACTCTAAAGCAGACGTCTGTGATTTAGAGTGATCGGCTACATAGATTTAGAGTGATCGGCTTGATTTTAAATTGGATCTTTGACCTCACTTCAATCTAGATCGTCCGATCTAGAATCAGTCTAGATTGTACGAATTTCTAGATTGGACGTGGCATACCGTATTCTCTCTAATAGTAGTGCATCCCGGCGAGCCGAGTTGGTGACTATTTTACAGTTCCCAAGCTTTCGCAGAAGCTTAACACTCTAATCCCCCACTGGATCTCATCGTCAGCTACATTTTCCGATCCCACATCGATAGGTTCTGATAAGTGGTTCTCGAGATTTCGAGGAATTTAGGCGAGGCCCAGGGTGCACTACTATTAGAGAAAATATGGCATTTTTACCACAAAAACGCTTTGCATTGATGGCATTTCACCCGTGAAACATTTGAGTTTTTAAAAAAGTCAATGAAATTTCACAAAAACAAAGCGAAATGAGATGAAATCAAAGAAAATCAAAGCAAAATCAAAGGAAATCAAAGTGAAATCTCAGGGGATCTCATTTTTGACGATTTCCTCGATTCATGCAAATCCTTGGCTCTAAGTTTGACTCGAAACAAGAATTCTGCGAACTACAGCAACGTACAGTACCAGTCAAAATCGTGCTCTTTTGAGGGATTTTAACTTTAGATGTAGACATCGTAGATATATAAGCGCTAGACAGCGCTAGATATCATCTGAAAGCTTTCATTTAACTCTACAAGATGTACTATAACAGGAAAAGGGTAGTTTTATTCAACTTTTAGGCGCTTGAATCAAAGCGAAAGCCGTCAAAGCTATCAAAGTGATTCTGGATGATTTTCAGGGCAATTTTTGAAGTACCAGAGTCACCAGAGTCGTTCAAAACGTTTTGAAATCATCTTTTTCGGAAAGAACTTTAAAAAGAACCCAAGAAAAGCGATTTTTGATAAATTATAGCATGTTTTTAATGAAGAGAATATTTAGAGAAAGAGAGTTCGAGAAAGAGATCATCTTCAAGGAGTTAACCTGCTTTTTAACGCAGAAGTTGACATGCTTTATGTAAATTTTTTTAATTCCAAGGGGATGACTCAATTGTTGGCTTGGGTAAGGATTTATAGTAAAAGAAAAAGACGCTAGTTTGTTTGTTTTGCGCGGATTTGATCGATTGATTGATCGGTCGATTGATCGATTCAAATCCCATTGATTCAAGTGCTTTTTTTAGGCTTAAATAGTACCAATATTATGATAGTCAACAGTAAAGATTGATAAGGAATTGCACAAGAGTCACGAGCTACCATCAAACTTGAGCTTGAGCTTGAGCAAAGTCTATAGACTCTACAGTCTATAGCTCAAGTTTGAAGGTAGCTATAATAGCTATAATGAAAGCTATTAAACATTGAAAGCTCAAGAAAAACAACAGTGATTGTCATGTTGACAAATCGAAAAGCTCTAGAATAAGTGAACAATTATAATAGCGTATGTTAAAATCTAAAAGAAGACAGAGAAAACAAAGAAAACAAAGAAAACAAGGATCTCTATTTCTATCAAAATCACAAACCAGAATTGTCTCCTCTCGTTTTCCATTTGACATCGATGAGCAACCATAAACGCTCGAGAAGAAACATTGCACGGAATTACTCCAGAAGTTCTTTTTGCTGTCTCTTTTTAAGCTTAGAGAAAAAATGATCATAAGACAAAAAAAAAATAAAGAAAAGGATATCCGATATTTTTCTTTTTAAAGACGAACAAAGGAACTCTTCTCCTTTCTATTTTTTCGCTTTTTCCAATTCATTTACCCATGCATTGCCCACTGCTTCTCCCAATAAATAGGGCCATTTTTAGTGCCAGAAAAATGGAGTAATAGGGTTGAATGTTTACTGTAAGTTTGAAGAAACAAAAGCTTGATGAACTATAGTTTAAATCTAGCACAGCTTCAAGTTGGATAGCTGCTGAGAAAGCTGAGAGCTCCTTTTGATTTCCTGAATTGTTCCTTTTGATTCTGCTTTAGCTTTACGATAATAGAAGCATAGAATCTCTGTCTGAAATCGGATAAATCTTGAATTGAACAAGTAAGAGATACAAAAATACAGCTACGAGTACAAGAAGCTACGAGTAAAAGTAGTACAAGTAGCTACGAGTACAAGTAGTACAAGTAGCTACGAGTACAAGTAGTACAAGTAGTACAAGTAGCTATGAGTACAAGTAGTACAAGTAGCTACGAGTACAAGTAGTACAAGTAGCTACGAGTACAAGTAGTACAAGTAGCTGCGAGTACAAGTAGTACAAGTAGCTACGAGTACAAGTAGTACAAGTAGCTATGAGTACAAGTAGTACAAGTAGCTGCGAGTACAAGTAGTACAAGTAGCTACGAGTACAAGTAGTACAAGTAGCTACGAGTACAAGCACTGAAATTCTAAAGCTTCACGAACTCTTTTCCTAGCTTTTCCTAGCTATATTTCCGTTGACTCTCTTCAGGATCCAAACCAAAACCGCATTAGGTATCAGTAAACAATTGGCACCTAATACAGCTACCGTAAATACTGTAATAGTACCCCACCCCCCTCGTACAGTCGCGTAGTCGCAAAAGTTTTTAGTATTTCATTTTTTGCAAAGCACCCATACTTTCAAAAAATACGTCTTTGGTATCAAAAAATAGCCCTGAATTTCAGCTATTTTTTGATACCTAAGCGCGCATTGTAGCATAAACCAGTGTCGAGAAAAACGCGTTTTTTCGGGATTGTTGCGTAGTCTAACTTTAAACATCCCGTTCTCCGCGCTGCTTTATGCTACGATGCGCACTTTGGTATCAAAAAATAGCCCTGAATTTCAGCTATTTTTTGATACCTAAGCGCGCATTGTAGCATAAACCAGTGTCGAGAAAAACGCGTCCAAAGTTAGACTACGCAACGCTCCGCACCGTCATTATGGGGGTGGGGTACTATTACAGTATTTACGGTATGATATTGGTTCAACGATTATCTAAATTACTCAAATTCGTTCACGATTTTTGTTCTTTATTTTAAATAAGTCAAAGATAAGCCAAACAATAAAGAAGGAATTGACATGAACAATAAAGAAGGACGGATTTCTGGAGAGGGGATGGAATCCTCGACCTTTCCAGACAATTGCTCTAAACACTGAACTATCCGATACCTTAACTTGCCAAGAGAAAGAAGGAAAGATAAGGGAGGAAAGGAAGAAAGGAAGGAAAGAAGGAAAAACAAGGGAGAAAGAAAGAAAGAAGGAAAGACAAGGGAGAAAAAGAAAGGAAGGAAGGAAGAAAGAAAGAAAGAAAGAAGAAAATACCTGAATCTTCAGAATCGTCCTATTTGAAAATCAGAACCAAAATATTAGTAATCAAGAAGTAAAGGAATTGGCAAAGCTTTTTAGGACAACGCTGCTTAAGTCAACTATTTTTTAAGAAAACTCTCCCTAGATTACGTTGCTTTCACTATAGGCAGCTAGTAAAATTGATGCCTTCATGCTGGCGTTCATGCTTTATGCCGTTTTTAATGCTGAGAAAACTCATGCCAAGAAAACTCATGCTCAGTTATCTTTTACTTTTTCTAAAAAAAGTACTAAGGTACTTGTAATTTTGTTCTAGAAAATTTCTAGAAGATGCTCGACTTTTTTTCGTTTATTTGTTGATTTGTGAGCGTGCTGCATTAGATAGATTATAAAAATAACCGAAAAAAGCTTAAAAAAGCCTCTTACAAGCTGTTAAAAGCTATCCTATACTCGCGTAAATCAATCTAACACTTAATAAAATATAAAAATGACCGAAAAAAGCTTAAAAAAGCCTCTTACAAGCTATTAAAAGCTATCCTATAATCGAGTAAATCAATCTAAAGCTTAATAAAATATAAAACTAACCGACAAAAGCTTAAAAACCTCTTACAAGCTGTTAAACGGCATAAAGCATAAAGCATAAAGCATGAATTCTCCTAGCTACCACCACTTTATCAAGCACTAACCTTTAAGCGTATGTGTTGCTGCATGTTGCTGTGTGACAACATGTTGCTGCTTGATCGGCAGTCCTTTCCTCAGTGGTAACGGATTGAACATCGCCCATCCTATCGGATTATTGGGTGGGGTCAACGGTGCATTCATAACAGTGATTGGAGGCTCTGTGGGTGGTGGCAGAACTAGAGACGGGCCTGGCAAGGCATCCTTTCGTGTGGAGCCCCTTCGGATCCCCAGCTGCGTCTCGGCCATCAAATGCGCCGACATTGATTGTAGCATCTTCAAGGGAAAATGGGTATCGGGTGAAGAGAAAAGAACAGAGGAATGAGATTCGATTAGTCGCTTTCCCCACAAATATGGCCCTTTATCTAGAGATTTAGTGGTCAGTTGGATTTTGAGAAATGTAGTAGAGGGATTAAAGGGTTGGAGGTGGCAATGGATTGAATAGAGATTGAAATATTGATTGAATAGGGAATAGAGGATTGGAATATTGATTGAATAGGGAATAGAGGTTGAGATATTGATTGAATAGGGAATAGAGGATTGAAATACTAGGTTTAGATACTAGTTTAGATACTAGTTGAGATACTAGTTTAGATCTAGTTTAGATACTAGTTTAGATACTAGTTTAGATACTAGTTCAAATACTAGTTTAGTTAATACTTTGTTTCAAGAGCTTTTCGGATTGGTTTAACGATTTTTTTTTGATCTCCTTTTGTTTAGATCAATCGTTTAAAATAGTTTTCAATTGATCAATAGACAATAAACAACAACTTCAATTGAAAATCAACAAGAAAACAGTGATAGTTTAGCAATAGTTTAGAATAGTTTAGATAAAAGATCGAAATCTGGAATCTGGATCGAAATCTAGACCGAAATCTAGACCGAAATCTAGACCGAAATCTAGACCGAAATCTAGACCAAAATCTAGACAACAAGAATCTCAAATTCACAGAGAAATATCTCTGAATTCTGAATGAGAAATTGCTTTCGGAAGATTCACTTCCTCGCTGAAGCCTCCATAGCGATTACTTTTAATTGTCACACTTTGGAAAAGAAAAGAATCTCGAAAAAGTGTTGTCAAAGTTGAAGAACAAAAAGGGGTGAGAGTGCTTGCAAATGTTTTGGGGCAAAAGAAAAGACTCCTTTTTTTTGACAAGGTCTCTGGGTGAAGGGGAGCTTCTTCTCAAAGATCCCACTGGGGACTCGTTCTCCCCGCGAGTTTTCTCCGATGATGTTGCCAGTGCTAAGCAGACTCAAACAGAAAAAAACGGGATCCCGAACGGCTTAGCTATATATTGGCGTTAGGATTTTGGATTGTTTGAGAGCTTTGGATTGTTTGTGAGCTTTGGATTGTTTGAGAGCTTGGTTTGCTTGGTTTGCCTGGTTGTCTTGGTTGTTAGAGCTTGGTTTGCTCCATTGTCAGTGCTATTTTCTTGGCAATTTGTACTTGCCTGGACGCTGTACATGTACTTGCCTGGACGCTGTACATGTACTTGCCTGGACGCTGTACATGTACTTGCCTGGACGCTGTACATGTACTTGCCTGGAGGCTGTACATGTACTTGCCTGGACGCTGTAACGCTGGATTCAAGAGCTACTTACTTCAACAGCCATTTTACAACTAGAATTTGTAGTGAATTGTTTCGAGAGCTTTGTTAGAATTGGTTTAGATTTAGCTGCTTTAGCTGAAGCTGCTTTAGCTGAAGCCGATTTTAGCTGAAGCTAGATCTTGTGGTAGATTTGCTCAAATTCTTGCGAGCTAATCAAAACCGCTGTGTACAAATAGTGCCAAAATCATCGGTTTTAGCGACTGGCCAAAATAATGCTTTAAGTTTATTTGTGTTTCTTATTTTTATTGGATTTAGCTATCTGCTGAAGTTTTTGAAGCCGTTTAGAACAAATTTTGGATGAGAAAATGCCAAAAAAAAACGAAAAATGGGCTCAAAAAGAGGTTACTGAGCTTTCCTTGACACCAATTCTGTTTCAACTGATCTGAAAGTATACAAAATGTAGCTAACTTCATTTTGCATTCAATAAGAAACACATAGAAACATAGCCGCATTATTTTGGCCTGCGCTGTTTGTACACGGCTTTTTGACCAGCTCCTCAATTTCTTGACAACTAGTAATTGACTGACTTCAGCTAAGTTACGCTAAATGGTTGGCTTGAGAAAAGAAATGACTTTGCTGAACAGTTAGCTTGAGTTGGCAAAATAAAGCTAGCTGTAGTTGATAAAATAAAGCTAGCTGTAGCTGAAAATGAACTTTGGTAGAACTCCAACCTTTCACCACCTTTTCACTTGATTAATTCAAATTAACAAGTTTCAAATTTTCAGTGCTCCAAATTACCCAAAACCTACTTGAAATCAATACTTTAATTAGCATTTCTTTATTTTTTTACTCCTTCTTCTTCTTCTTCTTCTTCTTCTTCTTCTTCTTCTTCTCCTTCTTTCCTCCTTCTTCTCCTCCTCCTCCTCCTACTAAAGCCTTGATGAGTTATGGCGGAACACCACAAAGCCTTCTCTAAAAGCTAATCTCTGACTTCTTCTCTATTTTCAAACAAAACTTGTCATCGAAATTCCCCTCTCATTGCCTTGAACTTCTGATGTCATTGATTCAAAAATTTAGGCTAAACTTTCGGAGACAGAAAAGAGAATGAGTGGCAGTCGATTCGTCAACTTGAACCCATCTCGACCCGAGTTTCTTAGAGAGTCTAACAAGGGTAAAAAGAGCTTCTTGAAAGCATATACAAATGAAAAACATATTAAATATAATATTAATAATCTAATATTGAATCTAAACATAATATTAAATGGAAATATTAAATAGAAATATTAAATAGAAATACTAAATGAGAAATCTAGAACTGCAGTGTTTCGTAAACTGTTATTTGGCGTAAACTGTTACTGGCGTAAACTGTTACTTTTATTTGGCTCTTGTCATTGCAAGTGATTGTTCTTTCAGCCTCTCTCAGTCTTTCAGCAATTTGCTGAATGGCTACAAGACTTGAAACTGAAAGATTACAAAGCTTAACCTGTTTGAATAAACTGTAACGAAAGAAGCTCTGTACTCGAGCAATAGTTTGGGCGGTTTCCTGCGGGTAATTTGATTGATTCTATCAATGTCTAGCTACCATACTTTACCCAATTATAAAAATAGATGCTTACAGTAGTTTCTTCAACCGTAAATAGCAGTTTACGGTAGCTGAAGAATTGAGTCTTCGGAAATGTTTGTTTGAATGAGTTTGAAATACTTACAGACAGCTAAAAAGCTATCCAATGACCTTCATAGCTTACAATGGCTCAAGTAAAACATTCGGAAACATGTTTAAAGTCTTTAAAGTAGGTTTAAAGCCTTTAAAATAGGTTTAAAGCCTTTAAAATAGGTTTAAAGTCTTTAAAATAGGTTAAAATAGGTTTACATTCAATTTTAAACTCCATTTATAAGCATAACACCTGTTTAGCTAGATTTAGTTATAAAAATATGCTTCAAAAACGAGAAAATATTGAGACAAAGTGATTTAAGTAAAAATTTTACGAACATTTTGGAAAAATGGCACACAAAATGAACTGCTGACTAGCTACAAGACTCACCTAAAGTCGCAGCTCCAAATGGAGTGAATTGCAACAAAAGTGGCGTTCTTGTCACCGATGGTAATGGTTTTCGCTGTGCTTTGTGAGCAATCGCCGCGGCAAGGGGATCCACTTGGATGAGACTGTCACGGAATGAGCGAAGAGCCCATGAGACGAACATTTCCTGGGAAATTTGGAATGATTCGCTTTGATGATCTTTTGATCGTTGATCTTGATCTTTTTAAATCCCGAATCACAACATTTCTAGCTTTGAATCAGTTTGAAACACTTACAGACAGTTAAAAAGCTATTCAATCAACTTCATAGCTTACAATTATTGGGTTGGTGAATTGAAAACTGTGGGCAATAGAAGATAACTAGTACCGATTTGTTTCCTAAAGAGATCATTCACCAATCCTCGAGATTTCGAGCTCTAGATCTAGTTCTAGATCGAACTATTGGGTTGGTGAATTGAAAACTGCCGGCTATTGACAGTTTGAGCACTTTCTTCAAAAGAAACCCATTTTGGTGTCAATGGAGAAGTTGTAGAGAATCAAAAATCAAGCTTATATCCAAATTTTCAGAACGATTCAAAAACTGGTTTTCAAGAAATGCCAAATTTACGAATTTTCACAAAACTTGAAACAAAACTTGTAACAAAACTTGATTTTAAGCGAAACTACTAAGTGTATCTTTTTGGAAATTTGGCTATAAACCTAATTTTTGATTCTCTACAACTTTTCTATTGACATCAAAATGGGTTTCTTTTGAAGAAAGTGCTCAAACTGGGATCTTCAGTCTCCATCTCCAGTCCTCGATTTTTGAGTCTCACACTTGTCTCACACACAAACCAAAATCCTACTACGAAAGAGGAATCCGCAAATTGCCTGTAAAATGGGCAGAAGTCGTCAATAATAATGGAAATTATTTGGAATGAATTGATGGCTTTATGTTGAATAAATTTTAGTTCAAAGTCCCGCAGTTTTCAATTCACCAACCCAATAAATTCATATTTCGTAATCCCGAGCTATTTAAACTTTGAAACCCTGCAAATATCTGTATACCCCTTGTTAGATTTAGTGATTGTTGGTTCTTTTTCTGGTTTCACTTGAGCATCTGCTTTATTTCAAAAGGCTCTATCAGAATTCTCTATCAGAATTCTCTATCAGAATTCTCTACCGGAATTCAGGTTAGAGTATCCATTCGACGATTTTGTTAGAGTCTCCATTCGACGCAGACAATTGTGCTGAATCGAATGGTGAAGAAAATAACGAAATCCGTCGGACTCAATTTTTATCGACTCGTTATCGACTTTATCGACTCGTTTCATCGTTTTATCGACTTTTACAAGAAACTCGCTCACTTTTAAACTTGTTAAACTCAGAAATACTATAGAAAATTACTTCTTGAAAACAAAAGCTTAGGAAAAAGAGAATTTCAGAAGAGAATTTCAAACAAAATTCCCTTTAGACAAACCTCAGCGCTGCCTCCAGGCACATTCAAATATTCAGCCAAATTAGACTCCATCTTGTTTGCTTTTTGGGCAAAATAGAGTTTCAAAATCGAGTTAACCTTTTAGGAAACCGAATTTATAGCAATAAGAAGCGTAAGTTTAGCTCGGGAAATGAGGATCTTAATGGGGAATGCTTGGGGAATGCTTGTTTCCTTGTGCACTCCCGGAACAGCTCAAATCTTGGCCTCAATTCAGGGGCAATGAACCAGGAAATGGCTTGGGAAAGGAGATAAAACGTGGCAAATAAAGTGCTTTTGCGGAACTCCTTTGCACAATAATAACAATAAAGCTATTTCTAGAGCTTTGTTTTGGTTAAAATATTGGGTACTTTAAGAAATTGATAGCAAATTTATGCAAATTTCGAATTAGGTGACAATTCGGAAGCAGAACTTTGACTAAATGAAGTGTTTTGGGATTGAAATCTTTGGAACTAGACCTAAAAGAAGAGGGACTGCTTTTATTCTTACTGCTATTAAATGATATTAAATGTTGTCTTCTAAGCCTGGGCCTAAGACTGAGCCTGAGCCTGAGCCTAAGCCTAAGCCTAAGCCTAAGCCTAAGCCTAAGCCTAAGCCTAAGCCTAAGCCTAAGCCTAAGCCATTTAGCATCTAATTCTACATTAGCATCTAATTTTCCATGATTTCTGAAATTAGAATAAAAGCCTGAAAACCCAATGGATTTCCTGGAGGATCCAGCAAGAATTTGACTTTAGATATCCATTTGAAAAAGTGCTCCGAAAGTAGCTACGTTTAAATGACAATGATGATGATTAAATGATGTAAATGAAAAGATATCTAATCGCAAGTTCTTCTTGGCTAATGCTAATCAAAAAAATCTATGAAATCAAGCTTTTTTGGACGCAATATTATTGGGTTGGTGGTTTGAAAGCTGAGGGACTTTGAACTAAAATTTGCTCAACATAAAACCATGAATTCATTCCAAATAATTTCCATTATTATTGACGACTTCTGCCCATTTTACAGGCAATTTGCGGATTCCTCTTTCGTAGTAGGATTTTGGTTTGTGTGTGAGACAAGTGTGAGACTCAAAAATGGAGGACTGGAGAGGAGGACTGGAGGTCCCAGTTTGGGCACTTTCTTCAAAAGAAACCCATTTTGGTGCCAATAGAAAAGTTGTAGAGAATCAAAAATTAGGCTTATAGCTAAATTTCCAAAAAGATAGACTTAGTAGTTTCGCTTAAAATCAAGTTTTGTTACAAGTTTTGTTTCAAGTTTTGTGAAAATTCGTAAATTTGGCATTTCTTGAAAACCAGTTTTTGAATCGTTCTGAAAATTTGGATATAAGCTTGATTTTTGATTCTCTACAACTTTTCCATTGACACCAAAATGGGTTTCTTTTGAAGAAAGTGCTCAAACTGTCACATATGACAATAGCCGGCAGTTTTCAATTCCAACCCAATAGATTGGTCGATAAGTCTTTGAAAACTCTTTTCAAATGTGTTTATAAATGAAAAATTCACCAATTCATCTACGATTTGAAAATGGAAGATGTTTATTATACACTTTTCTATCACTTTACACTAATTTGAGCCCGTTTCTAAGAAAATTCAAGCGCAAAAAGTGTTTCAGCGCAAAATTCGATCCAAAAGAATAAATAGATGATATAAAGAATTGACTGAATCAATTTCTCTGATAATTTAGTTATAAAACCTAACTTTTTTGCGCTGTTTCTTTTTTCTATTAACACCAAAATCGTTTTCTTTGAACGAAAGTGTCGAAATAGCGTGATCGAGTCGGTTTTGACTGACCAAGTTCGCATCTTCGAACAAAAAAAGCCAGAAATAAAACATTTCTTAAGATTTCAAACGATATTTTATAGAAAAATATTCGTTTTTTCTAATGGATTAAACCTTAGATCAATAGATGAATTGGTTATTTCTAAAATACGTTTTTAAATGAAGAATCTACGACTTATCGATTACGAATGAAGACTTATCGGCCAGCCTAATAGATCTTTATCAGTGGTAGATTTTGAGGAAACTTGTTAAGATGTTTGAGGCAAATGGGGCAATTTTGAGGAATTTAGAGTCTTGGGGGAGCAATTGGAGCATTTGGAGCATTTGGAGCAATCTTGAGTAATCTTTGAGCCTTTTCTAATCCAATATAGTCCCTTGATAACAGAAAGTTATCTAAAATAAACAAAAAAAAAACTCATGACTCACCAGCCAGTACGCCATTGTCCTTGAAAACCGTAATGTGCCGTGAAAAAATATAAAGAAAATCTCCGCAAATGACCCGTGTCTCTCTTTGACGCCAACCAGGTAGGACCCCGCGGCGTTTTTTCGCGTTTTGAGTCCTTTTTATGTGATGTTTCCCCCTCTTTGAAACCCTTTACTCTTGCTCTCACCACAAACACACACACACACACACACAGCTTATGTTGACTGGGACACAGCCAGCCAACCAGCCGGCCTTGAAAGGGGCGTCGAGTCAAAAGATGGCGCTTCCGGCCGAATACCCCCACACACACTAAATCTCGGGGGAAACCCTTTATGGGACTCTGCCTTTATATCGGGAAAAGGTGGACAATCACTTTTCGTAGCAAAATCGCTGTGCTTTTCTTCTCAAAAGTTCTTTTCTTCATTGGGTTCTAAAGCGCCAATGATGGGTGAGTAATGGTGGACATTTGTGAGGAGAGAAATGGAACGATGAAAATGGAACGATAAAATGGAACGCCAATGATGGCGAAGATGGTCAATGATGGCCAATCATCAAAGATTGAATTCAAGCTCATTCTGAAGTAAAGAGTTGAATGAATTCATCTTACAAGTGTATTGATCAAATTTCCCCGAGTTCTTGGTGATGCTTGAGTGCTTGAGATCGATCAAGATCGATGAAGAACTTTCTTTTTAATCTTTTACGAGCTCTGAGACTGAGAAAAGGAAAATAGCTCAACGATTAATGGTTAAATTCCTTTTTTCATTACCAAAGCCTTCTTTCGCTTTTCATTGACCAGTGAAGAAGGTTATCGAACATTTGATACACCCCTTGCCATTTGCCATTGGCAATCTAACTTTAAACTCAAATATCTTGGTGTTGGGCTGTACAATTGAAATACTTTTGGTATCATTGAATGCGACAAGTCTTTCTCTCTCGATTGATACAAAAAACTATTTAAATTGGACAGCCGAACATCAAGAAATTTGAGCTCAAAGTTGAATTGCCAATGGCAAAGGGGCGGGGCGCGTATGTCCCACCTTTTATACGCACCCCGCCCCTTTTCCCATTGGCAATCTCTGTCGATTTATACAAAAACTATTGGACAGCCGAACATCAAGAAATTTGAGCCCAAAGTTAGCTTGCTTAATGGGAAAAGATTTGGTCCCACAATCAGTGAAGAAACGTTGGTGAATTCTTCTTGCTCTTGAATAATGACTCGATTTCCTGAAATCTTGATGAGAGATGCAAAAACTAGAACAATCACTGGAACAATCAACAAAATCTTACCAATGATTGGCTATTGATGGACATTTGGAATGGAATAATGCAAATAGTTAATGATCTACTATATAAAAGAGTAGTGTCTGTCTGTTCGTCTGTAAGAGTTTTCTTACAGACTTTCTCAACTGTCTTTGAGCCAAAAATACTGAAATTTTTTTTAAAATCTTAAACTAGAATATAGTTGTGCTATTTAAAATCAAAAAAAAT